TCACGACTCTTCTCATGTTTGGGCGTTGACGTGCCCAAGCTTGCGTAGCAAGCTCAATATTCTGTCGCATCTAATCCCCTGATGCTGGCTGCAAGGTTTCAAGGCCCTCTCCTTCAATGTCATGGCTGTATCATGCTTTACTCGAGTGCCATCACGGCGTCTCTCATAACAGTGCCCCACCTTGCTTGCCCTGCATTTGATGGTCTGAGATCCTTACGCCGCAGCAGGTCGCCCTCCTTCTTGACAGCCTGCAGAACACATACAGCATGGCAAATCAAGTTGCCTAAAAATGCCACCAGGATTTCACCTTAGTCTTGTGCAATGCTGCCCATGCCTGTTGCTTTGATAACTTGACATGACTGAACGCCCACACATGCTGAACCCTTGCAATGGAATGGGGTCTGAGCAACTCATGCACATTGGCATGCGCCTCCAAGGTAGAGTTGTCTGCCAGGCTGACCTTGAGAGCCACCAAGCGCCCTGGCAGGTTTGTGGCTTTACGCCTGCGCAGCTTGAGATTTCGCGCCTGGGCTTCGTGTATTCTGTGCCAAGAAGACTCGGCCAAAGGCTCCTTTCGCACAAGGCTGATGATGCACCCTCTGGTTTGCACTCCGTGCTTCCCAGGAGGCGTCCGGACTGAGTCTGTATGTAACATGTAGAGGTCAGTGTGATCCGTTTGTACGTAGCCTGCACCTGCACATTCCAAATTCGGGGTGGTTGCACGTGCAATGGGAATCCTCCAACTGGCATGGTCCTCCGGTACGTACTGACACCAAGCTGCCATGTCCACCCGAGTCCTTCTCCCAAGCGATCCAGGGTTCGGTACGGCCCGAAGGAGTCCATGCGCTTCCATCAGCGGTCATGCGAAACTGTTCTCAGCATGTCTCGTGAACTGAATTGTCCTTTCGATTTCGACAACTGCAACAACGACATCTGGTGTTTCCACATACGCCGGCTCCAGGCTTGCAAGTCCTTTTGGTTTCTAGAGTGCTAGTGCGTCGCAGCTCACGCTCGAAAGCCGAGAGTTAAGCCGAAATCCAAGCAAACGCATGGCTGCCTTTCAGATTTCAACAAGGCGGATGGCAAATCAAGGCATGTCATCGCGCTCCCGCTGAACATGGTCCACTGCACGGTCAAGCAGCACAGGCGCAGCATGGCCAATCAAACACTCCGAGCCGCCGCTGAGCATCCCTCTGTTTGAGAGCCAAGGCAGGCACCTTGCATGAGTTGGTTGATGCCATATCACCTGTGGCAATGGGGTAGCGTACACTGAGCAAGCTTCCAACGCAATGTGCGTCAAACAATACCTTTCGCGCAGCGATGGCAACGCACTGCCAATGGTTGTTGCAAGTGTCCCAAGATGCCTTTGATGACGTCGATGTGCCGGTGGCAATGTCAGCAATAGCTCCTGGGCACAGGAACCGCCTCAATCTGGAAGTCTCTTGACAGGGTGTGCTAGCTGTTTCCCCAAGCAAAGGAAATCAAGGACTGGCGAGACGACTCCGGCGTTCATGCAGCGGAAAAGTTGGGACGAACTGCTCCTGGCAGGCAGGCCGCCACCAACCAACGGGACCTTGACATCCTGCAAGCAGAAAGCAAATGCGTTGCTCAATGCGTGACATTCACGGCAAACCTCATGGCTCAAGATGCTTGCCCACTTCATGCTGAGCTACATGTTTATCAACTGAAGTAGCCTCTCAATAGTTGCCTCATAGCGGTCCGCCTTGCTTTGCTCTAAAGCCCAGACCTGCCAGCCAAGCACAGGATCCGCAAAGCCTCTGTCCATGCTACAACGAATTCAATTTTGAGCCGGCCATGCTTCGCAGTGATGTCTCTTTCGTCGTTTGGCCCTCAAGGTTGGTTATTGTGGTCGGCTGCAGGCACTGCAGGGCAGGGCTATGCAAATGTGCATGGTCTTCACGTGGCATATGCGCATGGCATCCCAGGAACCTGCACCAACTCAGCCTAGGTGCACATGCACACATTCTTTTCTAAAGATTCTAAAGCGCACGCCCAAGCGGGGTTGGACCTCAGCTGCACCGAAGGCGTGGCAAGACGCTGGCAATGCTTGGCACAAACAACGCAACACCAAGAACCTGGCGATAAACGCCAATCAGCCTTCCCCAAACCCAACTAGCCAGCGAATCCGCCCGTTGTGTGCTTGTGGCCTGGGCGGTCCATTGACCTGAAGGCACCACTGTCGGCCTGTTCAAGGGTGCTGACTGAAGAAGCGCACATATTAAACATTTCACTTGCTACCTAATTGAAGGTCAGCAAGCATGAAACGACTCCAACCAACAAGTAAGCAAGCAAGCAAGCAAGGAATTTGTCAAACATACAGCGCTTGCTGCGTGTTGCATGGCTAAGTTTAAGGGCACCTGCATATGTACCAGGAGGTCCGAAACTGTCCAAATACTGAAAGTGTCTCTTCTCCTGTAATATCTCTCCAGAGGGCATGCAAACAAGAAACTTGAGTCATTGAGCGGGCTCATCAGGCTGACTACACTTGCCGCAAAACCTTTAGGCCACTTTTGCAGTCGCGGAGGTCTTTCCTCTAGTTCCCAGGTTTCCGGATCTGATGGGAACGCCGTGGCGCCCAAGCAATGGCCCTATGGGCACTCCAGCTGGGGGGTCTCCCTCTCCTGCCGCCCCTGGATTTCCGGCCCTCCCTCCAACATGCCACACAGCATCTGTTCTTGAATACTGTAAATACTCATTTCCACCACCGTGTCAATGAGCCGCACATGGCCCCAGGTGGTTCAGTTGGGCTTATCAATGCAGAGGCGGTAAGGAAGGCTTGAGCGTCACGGGCCTGAACTGAGAACCAACGAATTACGCGCTGACCCTCACGTGCATCGCACACTGCCACCATGCTTATTGCAAGGGCAGGAAACTGTTATTGTCCCCGACACCCATGCAAGCTGAGGGTATGTCGGGACAATGCTTTAGAGGTTCACACCGCAAATGAACATTGAATGGCCACTTACGTTTGCTGTGACTTTCATCTAGTCACACAAATCTGGCGCTGCAGCACTTGGACTTCCCCTTGGCCAAAGGTCGACGGCACATTAAAGAAAACCGCATGCAGGAGCGTGAAATCCCCCGCAACTGTTTCGAGCCCCTGCATGGGAGGCGGATACCAGTTTGTATAATGGGGCAAAGTCATGTGAACCTCTGGAGAAAACAAATGCAGGATGCGGACTCAGTAGTCCCATGCCTTGCCTTTGGTCCACCTGGCAGCATGCGCTTTTAGATTCAAGCTGGTGTGGAGGACATTCCCTGCATTCTCCACCCCAAAGCTTTGTTTGCGCATTCAGCTGAAGCAACTGATTGCACAGCACAGCCGACAAATTTTGCAAAACAAGTTTTGCTAAGTCCCGCACATTGACAACTGGGCTTTACCTTTTCCAGCGCTTTTGTATCCTCTGTCTGGATGGCACTGCTCCCACCAATACGCCTGCGTGCTTGCTGGCGGACAAGCGCAAAAAAGCGGTAATTCATGGGCGCGGGGTGTCAGGTGCGCATGCATGCAGGTGGCATGTTGATAAAACCTTGCTAATGGTCAGGACCGGTTGTCCCTAATTTAGTATTCCAAAGCTGGCCCCAAAGCTAATGCTACAGCACGCTGGGAGAACGCAAACTCTCGGAGAAATTATTTTGGTTCACGTGCGAATCCGCGCCTCCGTCTGCCTCTTGGTCCAAGTGGAGGCCTGAAATCACCCAGCTGGCTGAAACTCGTGTTGCAAGCTGAACAGGAGGCAACATTCTTTAAGTCTTTGCGCTGTTCACATATTGCAGGTGCTTTTAGGGTCATCGAACTTGGCCATTGCGCTGGCCGATCGGAGTTACCTCCTTCATGGCCGAACTGACCCTCCAACGAATTTTTCCGAGTTGCATAGAAGGATCTGAGCTCCTCCCAGGTGTAGCTCTTGCCATTCTGGGCAAGTGCGGCAAGTGCGGCAAGTGAGCAGTGACACACACACAAAACATGCTGCGCCAGGCTGCCTGAACAAACCGGGGAACAGAACAAATCACACCTGCAAACGCATTCGACTATTGAAAGCAACTTGCAGCTCAGCCAAGTGTCAGCCGGATCTGTGCCTGGGCTTCAGCAACAAAAGCAAAAAAAACACAAAAAGCAAGCATCCCAGTTTTGACTTGCGATCAGGGCTCCAAAGTCAAGGGATAGCGGTTCAACTGAGGATTTGCGTCAGATTTTGCAGGTCATGCAAGTCGTGCAACGTTGCACGCTTATGGGGCTCGATTGGTTTTGAAACCAAATGTTCAGTATCTGGAGGTGCCACCGCTTGCATCGCAGACTGACTTTCAGGGGGTAGGAAGGATTGGCAGGACGAGAAGGTAGTGTTTGCGATGTTTGACCGTTTGCCGGGCAAATGGGAAAACACATGGAATGATACTGCAAATCGTGTGAACTTTGGCCAAGTGACGACGTTCTGCACTCGGTGCTTTGCCAGTGCCCTTGCCCTCACCCGGCTTTCCCTGGTCTTTGCTGTAGCTCTTTCCCTTGAAGGCTCCTTTGCCTTCACCTTTGCCCGTAGGAGCCTTGCCTTTGCCAAAGCCCTTTGCGGACCTCCCTTTTCCTGGAAGCAAGCGAAGCAACCCCAATGCCACCACAAAATCGAACTGAGCTGTTGCGGACGGCCTCTTTTTTGTGGGCTGCCGACGTAGCAGCTGCTTTAGCCATGGTCTCTGTCTGAAGTCAATTGCTGGGAAGCCCATGCGGGCTCAGTTGCCCTGACAAACTCAGCGACCAGGGTGCAATGGGCCTGTACCACCGCTGTTGACGCGGGCAAGGTCCAACACACAAAACTATAACTCCAACACACAAATGCATCACGTCAGACCGGGCACACCAGCAGCTTTCAAACAACACTTGTGGAATAGGAATCATGTGTCCCTTGAAGGGCACCTCCCCATGGGCAAGGATGGCAAACCGATATTCTGGCGTGCCCAAGCGTCTTTGGACGGAAGGGCCTCCCTCACCGCTCCACTGTGAGCGCTTGCCAGTCCCCTTGGTCCGGCCAGCGTGCCTCACGCAGGGCAACCCACACTCACCAAGACATCCGAAACAAAGCATGTCCGTTTTGACTCTCTTTCCCCTTCCTGCACGGCATCCCCCTGCACGTCAATATACATACCAGTGTGGCTCTTCAAGTAGATGGTGTCGCCCACCCGGATGGGCGCTGGCTCACGTTTTGCCAGCTCCAGGCCCTGCCACACGCCAAGGTCTACCCAGCGAGCCTTCACCGGACCCTCATCCTGAACGTCCAGATAGCACCCGGTGTGTGCCCTGAGGAACGCCAAATCTCCAGGCTGAAACATCGTCGGGTCGCTGCTCTCTACCACCAAGGGATTCTTCTCAATGACCAAGCTCTGCCAGTCCCCTGTGTCTTCCTTGGCTGCCTTAACTCTTTGCCTGTTTATGCATTCCGCAGTCCCTGGTTCAAGAGGTACAAAATCAAATATCGGTATGGTGCTGTCAAGTTGAACCAGGCAACCCAGCGAGCAAACGCATGATCACTTTCCACATCAAGGAAGCGACCAGTGTGCGCACGCAAGAAAATGCGGTCGCCCGGCCGGACAAGATCTGGGTCACTTGCACCTTCTGTCGTCCAACTGCCGGAAACCTGTTCTGAGCTGAGGATGGAAAGTAACAAAAAAACGCCGGCAGCCTTTGAGGTTGACAAATCGCAGCAGAAACCACTAGTACTCATCGCATGGCAAGCAACTTTCAGAACCTCAACTTCCTCCACAGGTCCTGAACCTTTCGAGCGACGTCTAGGCTCTGCATTCAGAACTTCCACGGTGTCCTGTCAGACAGGACAAAGCACGCCCGTCAATTGGTGTGGCATACTGCCTGAGGCAACAATTACCATTCTGTGGCTCAGAACTGTGAAAAACAAGTTTACAGGCACTTCGTGCGGCGTGCATCCACTTTTGAGCCATGGATACCCTTGAAATGATAACTAGCACGCATGCTCAAGAGAACCCCTGCGTACTGGAGTATTTTGAGTACCGCGGGCAAGGCAAATTAAACGCTTCTGCTCAAGCAAATTAAACGGCTAAGCTGCGTACACATATGCAACCACATGTCCAACGTCAAGTGGGGAGCGTGCTGGACGGGTGCTGCATTCTGCATTTGTTTGGTTGTGGCTCCTCGAATGTCCACCCTCAGTTGATTGTTGAGTATTATCAAGGATTGCAAAAGCAGTTGTTAAGTTTGGAGGAAATTCCTGCTTTTGGTGGGCATTTGGCCAATCTCCTGTAGAATTTCCTGTCGTTGGTTTCTATAATATCTGCTTCTGGGTCACTCAATAAATTTGGCGCCCATCGGCACGTCAAGGGCACATCTGTTTCCAGCCCCGAAGACTTGACCTATCGCTCGGGTCGCTCGCGCCGTCGAACTCCTCCTCTGCGCGAAGCACCGCCAGCCGCAGCTGCTCCAGGAGCTCCGCTTTGCGGCCGCGGCTCGGCAGTCCGAGCTCTGCCAGCTTCTCTCGCAGCTGCTTCCTCGGGTCTGCTCCGGCAAGACACAGCAAATTAGATTCATGTCGCACCCCCCTTTTCCTTCGAAACAAGTGCAGCTCCTCAAGCTTAAAATCAAAACATGCGCCAGGCGACAGGGTTGGAAGGCCCTTGCCTTTCCGTCGCGCAGCGCATGCCACCAGCACCGGCCAAACGCGCTGAGGCTGTGCCCCTGGACGAGGTAAACTAGGCAGTGGCCAAGTCCGCGACTGTCGAGCCCTCAGGCTGCGCTGGCCCAGGTTTTTGCCCAGACCCAAATTGCCAGCAGTCGCTGGCAGCATTGCCCAATGCTAAAATCAGTTGGAAGCTTGAAGTGCAACTGGAGCATTGCTTTGTAATGGTATCTGTGCTAAAGTGCATCCTGCTAGTCTGGCTTCCAGATTGGTTGTTCCAGTGTTCCAGGCACTGTGAAGGCCAAATACCCGGACTTGGTTCTCGCAGCTGCGGATTGTGGATGAAGTGCAAGCGACGACAGTTTCCTTGTATATAGTACAAGGGCCATTGAACCCCTGATTCAACACCAGGAGCGCACGCGTACCCGCAGCAAACATGTCGGTGAGTGTCAAGGGTGCTCTTTACAGAGGGTGCCCTTTTCCAATGATCACAATGATCCCAACATGGACATAAACTATGGCTAGGGCACCTTAGGCAAAGGGCAGCCTTGCTACTAACCGAAGGTAAGCCAAATCTAGTGCAGTTCACATCCAATGCGCGAGGCATCCTGGTCACTCCGTGCAACATCTTACAACACATTACTGGCCACGCTTGCCTCTCTCCGCAGAGCACTCCAAGAAGTAGCTCAGAATGTCCTGGGCTGGAAGCCCCGACAGAGCGTGCCATTGTAGTGAGTTGCACATATCAAATCTATTTACAACCAACACAACTTGGATGTCACAGCCCCTTTCCGGCTCGAGAACCCGCCAAACAATGGGACCGTCAGATGCACTGAGCGTCCATGGCTGGCATGGCTGAAAATGAGCGTTCACTCTGCCTGCTTCCATCGCGATCACTGCTTATTGTGAATACTAAATACTACCAAGCTTCCATCCTCGAGTAGCTGTTGCGGTAGTGGCGCAGCATCTCCTCTCATATGGGCTTGCAACAGCAAAAGGGTACATCCAACACGCAACGGATCGTATATATGTGGGGGAAAGTAGGAGAAGGTCCCATCATTCTTTGAGAAAAGGCGACACCTTTAAGAGTTTCGCACCCAGGTGCAGGCTGCACATGCCACGCTCACCAGGTTGCATAGTCATCTTGCACAATCAAGCAAACGCCTTTGAGATTTGTTCGCAGAGCAGAGCGCGCAAAGCTGGCATTGGGCAATCTCGCAATGGTCCTCGTAGGAGTATGGCATGCCATCGATGGGATCGATGTGCCTCTGAAACTGCTGTTGTGGAGCCTGCCGTGGTCGCACAAAAAGATGGCTCTTTTCAAAATAAGCTAGCCAAGCAAAGGGCCAAATCATTCATGATGTAGCTTTCAAATATTACAAACCAACAGCTGTGCACCATCAACATCTGACGAAGAGTGGGCCTGCGGCATCTTGCCCTTTCCTTTGCCTGCTGTCTTTCCTTCACCTTTGGGCATCTTACCCTTTCCCACTGCTTTGCCTTTCCCTGATGTGCGCAAATCAGGCGGACCGGCCAATGGCCAGCGCATGCCACTTCTCGCGTCACGAGATGTCTTCAGCTTTCTTGTGTTGACTGTAGCATACTGCTGGGGAAACTGTGGAGTGCCATTTGACAGATTTTTCCGCATCCTTCAAGGCATCCTATGACCCTTGTTTATCTTAAGGCAGCGCTTGCGGCCACCATGCTGCCAAGGGTCCTTTCAACCCTCGACCTTTGCCTGCGCCCTTTCTTCTCACTGTCGGAGCCATGGCCTCTTCCTTGCAGCGCAAGTCCAGATGCGACTTTTACAACCAGCAAAACTACCATGATTGCCACATGTGCCCGATTGTGACCTCAAAGCATTGAAGGTACATTGATGCATTCTGCAGGCGCACCTGCGGCGGACCCTCGCTACTAGCGAAGTCCCAGGAAAAGGCGACATTGCTACGATCCTGCGGTAGCAAGGCGTCAATGCGCTGGACTGCAACATTTGCGGCCGACCCTGGCTGCGACGCATGGCGTGCAGCCTCACAACCTGGGTCGTTCTACATGCACCTCATACACCACACAATGCTCATCAAACAGAACATCTTCGAAGCTGCTTGAACCCACAGGCACGCAACCTGTTTGGTCAGTGATACCCAGATGTTGACGAGATGCCTCTGCATATTTCAAGCAGGCGACTCCCTCAGTGGCAAGCAGTCAGCCCTGGTCCTTGTCAGAGAGCCAAGCTGCCTGCTTCTCACCAGCCCTTGCAATGGGCAAAACATGCTGGTGGCCCTCATGCAAGCTTGAAGCATTGCATGCTGGTCATCCCTTCTGATATCAACACACCGTCCAACAGCAAAATGAACGATGACAAGATATGATGAGCCTGCACGGTTGATACACGGCATGTGGGCTGACAAAACCCGTGGACAACCCATATATCCTTACGCCCTCGTATCGGTCAATATCTGTTTTTCCTCAGCATCGGTTTGCGGTGTTTTGGTTGCTCTAGCTCCGAAGTCTCCTGCTCGAAAGCCGCAACTTTTCGGTACAAGTGCAGCACAACAAGTGCATTTTGGCAGGTTTAGCTGGAAAGTCGCAACTGTTCAGTAGTATGCGAAGTACCCTTTGGCAGCTCCAGCTCGGAAGGCTCGGAAGTCGCAGCTTCTCAGTGCAAGTAAGTGTAGTAAAGTGTAGTATAGTGTAGTATACGACGAGGTACATTTTGGCAGCTCCTTCGCGGAAGTCGCAACTTTTCAGTACACATGTAGCACACAAAGTACATTTCGGCAGCTCCAGGCAGCTCCAGGCAGCTCCAGGCAGCACCAGGGAAGGCTGCAGGGCAGCTGTTCTGATTCGGCATGGCGGCTGATGAGTATGGGTTGGGCATCGGTTTGGGTATCGGTTTGGGCCCAGCAAATGTATGATTCCGCAATCTTGGTTTGCGACAACCACTTGGACCTGACGTGCGTCTTCTTGGCTTCTGGGGGTATCGTTGGTTTTTTCTTCCCTGAGTATCGGTTTACAGTGGTTTTGGCCTGCAAAATAAATTAAGGGACGGGCCCTTACGTAACGAAAAGACGCGGGGTTGTTTTTTCAACCCGTGTGCTGTGTATCAATCCCGGGGGGGGCATGTTAATAGGGGCTCGTTGGGGCAGGGTGTAAGGGATCGCAAAAAATCCCAGACACCCGCACAAAGCGGGAAATGCCGCCAAATCATCTGCACGCACGTCTGCAACCCGAAGTCTCATTTATTGCATCTACCTGATCTTAAATTCTACTTGTCTATATTGCATGCGATCAATTGTATGCGTGTGTCCGTCATCAAGCATCATCGATTCAATCGATTGCAAGAGCTTACTTCTACCCTAGCAACATGATGGGTGAAGCAATTACGTACTTGAACGTGTTTTAACCCGTTGTGTGAAGATTCAATGTCCGGACCTTGGCATGCTAGCACCCCATATGCGTATGCCCGTGGGCCTGCGTATCACATTCAGCACATATCAAGTAAAGTCAAACACTACACACTCACACGCACTCACGCACACAGAGAAACACACATAAACACATCGAGACACACACACAGAGACACACACACACACAGAGACACACACACAGAGACACACACACACAGAGACACACACACACAGAGACACACACACACACAGAGACACACACACAGAGACACACACACAGAGACACACACACACACACAGAGACATACACACAGAGACACACTCACACACACACACAGAGACACACACACACAGAGACACACACACACAGAGACACACACACAGAGACACAGAGACACACACAGAGACACACACACAGAGACACACACACAGACACACACACACACAGAGACACACTCACACACACACAGAGACACACACACAGAGACACACACACAGAGACACACACACACAGAGAGACACACACAGAGACACACACACACAGAGACACACACACACAGAGACACACACACAGAGACACACACACACACAGAGACACACACACAGAGACACACACACACGGAGACACACACACACAGAGACACACACACACACAGTCAAACACACACACACACACACAAACACACACACACAGACAAAACACACACACACAGACACACACACAGACACACACACACACACACACGCAGAGACACACACACACACGCAGAGACACACACGCAGAGACACACACACAGAGACACACACGCAGAGACACACACACACAGAGACACACACGCAGAGAGCACGAGTATGAGCACATACCTCGACATCACATTGCATTCGTATAGCCACACCTCTCAAAAGGGCATCTGCCGAGGAACCAATCTCATTTCATTGCTAATGCGAATCCACACAGCAAACCGCCTATGGGACACATGCTGCAATTCACACACACACACATCAAACAACATAACATGATAGCTCTGTTGACGCGGTGGCCGTTATCTGCGCTCAGAGGTCTGTCGGAAGAGCTTCTAAAGCTCGAAACCTAGCATGCCCGGACAGAAAGGGAGGCTGAAAAGGAAGACGCTTGAGCTCACCAAGGGCCATGTGGGCAGTTTTTTTTTGTTGGTGCTCGGGGCCTATACACTGCACACATGCCTACGCGAGCGCCTACGCAACGCCTCCGCGACTGCAAGGGGCGCCTACGCGCGCACGTTTGTCTCTTGTCGCGCCTACGCGGACGCCTACGCAAGAAAATCACGCGCCGCTTTTTTTCCAGCTCGAGCTTTGCAATGCCAAGCCAATCGTTGTCTGACACCCTACGTCAGCTTCCAGCTGCTTACCTACGCGGGCAATCGTTGAGTTCAAGTGTCGAAGTGCACTGTGGCAGCTCCAGCTGAAAAATCGCAACTTTTCAATACAAGTGCAGTTTTGACAGCTCCGGCTCTAAGATCAAAAATGCAGTACAAGTGAGAATGCAACATCTGTTCAAGGATCTGGCTGCTAGAAAAGGTCTACGCGCCCAAAATGCCTTGAAAGCCTACGCGAATGCCTACGCGGGGCCTACGCGGAGCCTACGCGAAGACTGCAGAACAAACAGAAGGAAGGCAAAAGAAGCAAATTCCTTCATACGTGGCAAACAGTTCTTCCTACGCGCTGAAGCCTACGCGAGCCTACGCCCCCAACCAGGATTGCCTCCGCAAAGTACATGCAGTTCCCTTTTTGTATAAACTCTTTCATTTGATTAAAAAACGCTGCTCATTTGAACAGTGGACAGCCGCCATTTTATGGGCGTTCATTTTACTGGGGGACCCTTTTGATATATCTGGGGGGGATTCATGTCCGCCAACCGCTTTGACAATTCTTAGCCATGTTGGTTCAAGAACCCTTTTCTCAGTGCGTCTGCAACAACTCAGCCAGACCCATGCCCATCCATATGCATTGTAAAACATAAAGCTTCAGACAATACATAACAGCTCCATCAAGTGCCTACGCGCGCGCCTACGCAAGAACAAATACAAGGGTGTGCGCGAAATGCTTACGCGATGCCTCCGCGCGCCTACGCCCCCCAGCTAATTTGCCTACGCGGACATGATGCAGTTCCCTTTTTGTATAAATCCTTGATTCCAAGAAAAAAACACTACAATGTCTGGAACAGGTCCTGACCTCCTTGATCTTGTTCTTTCAGCGGTTCTCAAAAAGAATGCGACTGTGGGATGCCAGCACCTAGACATGTCATCATGCAATTGTCTTACCTCGTTTTAGCTATCGTGTTCTCAGAAGGCACGCGCGTTGTCTCACAAAAAGTGCTTCTCCCTTACATGTTTGCCTGTGTGCGCAAGTGTAAGTTGGCACTCATCACTCAACATCTATACGGACTTGAAAACAGGCATCTTGCATAACGTAGTTTACTCTCTGCGCAATGTGACGTGGATGCGTGTGTATAGCTCATTCAGTGGCGCGTGTTCTCGCTTCCACCACGCAAGCGGACGAAATGCCAGGGTTGGCGAAGCACTTGAAGGTAGCAAGCCAATGCTTGGCCCTACGTGCAAGCAAGTAGCGAAAAGGCGGAGTCCAACACGAACCTTGGTACTTGCACGCTGAGGTGCAACTGGCACTTCTTAGAGGCGCATTCCCGGCTCTCTAAAGTGCTTGTTGGCCGGTGCTGGCCCTGGTGAAGATGGCTGTGCCCTCTGGTCAACTTTTGGCAGGACTCACATGTAAACTAAACGGCTTCCTTGCCCAGGGTCGGTCGCACACGGGTGTTCAAGTGATGCAATGCAGGCGGGAACCACTCAAGATCACTGCCCCTGTTCAACTAACTGCCCACTTTCAAGAAACCACTGCAAACATGCGGGCTTCTAGATTCTGAGTGATAAATTTTACATGGCGGCAAACTCAGATTACTTCGGGTAACAAACATACTTGCTGATAAGTCTTACATTTCCACCATGTCTCCAGCCCACTCATACTTGTACAATGTTCTGGGCTCTGTAATCATCCGTTGCCGCATTGGGCCTTCGCCGAGTAGCAAGAACACGCACCAAGATAGCAAGAACACGCACCAAGAAGGGCCCCTTGCGAACCTACCAAAAAAAAAGAAGCTAGCCAATCGACCTAACTTGTGCGGACGAAATGGATATCGGCGTCCAAGAGGCTTCCCAGAGCCCCAAATCAGCTCACCGTCCTTCCCTTCTTTCAGCCTCGGAACTGCACAAAGACATTGCTCTGTGTCTGAGACTCTAAGCCCAATCTAATGTGCTAGGCTGAGCAACTTATCTGATTGCCAGGCGACTTGAAGGATCTAGCTCTTCGGCTTCCCTTCCACACCTCAGCCGCCAGTGGGCTTTTGGCCAAATGCGATGCAGCCAAACAAAGCACGGCAAAAAATGACGTTTCGCTGCGTCCAGGGCCGAACCAACCAATCGCTTCTGGTTTGGTTGCCAGGACTGTGGTCATCCCTGACTGCCAAAAGGCCATGGTGGCCACATCGTCCTCCACGAACCATTGCCTCAAACCAGACAAAGCCAGTTTGAGGCAACAAAGAACACCTGGTACCTTTCTGGGGATGTCAGCATTGCTACTGCTTGCAGCCACTTTTGCTACGTAGGATGAACCGGCCACTGCATGAGTTTCAGGCAACCGACACGCTGAGCTTCAGGCAACTGCTCTTTGCCAGTTTGACTCCAAAGGCCCTGCAGGGCCTCCCGCAAACGGCCCAGCCACTCAACGTGCTCTGAACTGTGAAACGCTCAGCCGGCCCAGTTTGAGTGGGAACAGTCAGGGCCCTGCTGGGCATCGCACCGCCACTGCAACTGCAGGCAATGTTGTTTGTGTCGTGCCACCTCCATGCTCCAAAGCAGCCTAGCTGAATAAGCACATGGAAAAAACGCAAATGCAAGCACACGCGCACAAACACAAACAGCACACATGCACACAAACAAACAAACAAACAAACAGACAGAGAGACAGACAGACAGACAGACAGGCAGGCAGGCAGGCAGACAGACAAACACACAAACAAACACACAAACAATAAAACAATCAATCAAACAAACAAACAAGCAAACAAGCAAGCAAACAAACAAGTAAGTGAGTAAGCAAGCAACCATAAACCAAACAAAACTAAACCAAAGCGAACCGTACCTAACCTAAACAAACCAACTCACCAACCAACCAACCAACCAACCAACGAACAAACAACCAAACAAACAAACAAACACGCACGCACAAACCCAGAAACACAACACGCAAACTCGCAAATACCTGCACACGTACCCCGCAAACAGAAACACGCGCGCACACACACACACCCAAACCTACTGGCACCTGGCCAAATCGAAAGGGCCTGCTTCTGCTCATCGAAGCCCATGGCTGATCCAGGGATTGAGCTTCAAGTTTTGCGGAGGAGACGCAAGCAGAAATCACCGGACACAACAAACAAGGCTCACCGACCCTGGCAAAATGGGTGAGCTGGCAGCAAGAAACGTCTCAATGTCTTTTCCAAACATACCAGTAAGCCATGAATTGTGTAATTATAGCATCCCGACTAAAAGCTTTGCATCACCAACTGGCAGTCACTTCCATGACGTTGGCTGAGACCTGTGCTCAGTGGATGTTCTCTGCATTGTAGTCGACCCTGACAACCAGCACCCGAGACCCGAATGGCCAAAACGTACAAAATCAACCATGCATCAAGTTCTGCCAACCTGGCATTGTGTTGGTGCAAAGGAAAAGTGCTTGGCCACTGCAGGTTGCTTTTGGAGCATCTTCCTGCCGAGTCGAGTCTTCACATCTTGGCCTCGCGCCGTAGCACGGCTCGTTGGTAGGGACCGCGCTGATGGCAGCGTGACACATACTGCTCCAAAACTGTCTGGAGCTCTTTATCAATGGCTTGTGAGGGCAGCCACCCGATGACGGTCGCCCAGTCCAGGCCTGCCAAAAGGTTGTTTCTTTTCGGTCGACATGCTACTTGGGAGCTCGGTGGGTTTCTGTGACCCAAGGCCGCAAATGGCTGACGGTAAAGTAATCAGCAAAATGGGGCCTTGCTAAGCCCAGGGCAGTGCACCAACAGGATGTCTGCGGCACTGAATTCGCCCAGCAGGAAATCGCCGGCCTATCAGTGGACGAAAGTGATGAAACATGAGCATTACAACATGGTGCTGATAGGCAAACTGTGCCAAACCGCGCTTGGCTCGATTTGGCGGCCGGCATGAAGCTGTTTTCCGTCCAGCTGCTTCGTCAAAGCGACGATGCCCATGGCCTGCTGAAGCTGCTGCAGGAGGAGCTTCAACGTGCTGCAGAAGTGCTGCCGCGCGTGCTCGACGGCCTCATGAGATGAGTGCAGTGAACTTGCTGAGCGCACAAGCTGAGATGTCCAGCGATCAAAGCACTCCTCTTTCAAAACCCTTCTGCAAGCATTGTCCCGCCTCGGGGATATGGCCAAAGACTTGCTTCATGCTCTCGTGCTTGCGATGGATCCACAGGCCCTGCAAAGCAAGCATTTGTCACTGTTTCTCGCTCAGCCAATCTCTTGTGTGTTTTCGAGTCTGCTGACCGGGTGACCATCAAACAATCAGCACTCAGCTAACATGGTGGACGCAGCTCACACGACAATGCAAACTGTCGGCTCCTGGGCATCAAGCTCAGTCATAATGCACTGAACCATCTGCTCATACCTAACAGGGAATTCTCTGCCGTGACGTTCGATATGTTCGATTAAGGCTTGGTTGCCCCGTAGAGTTGCAACCCGCAGGACTTGCGCGCAAACATGGTCAAGTTACAGAGTGACGTGCTGATGCTGTTTCCTACGCAAAAACTCGAGCTTGCGCGATTTTGGGACTGCCAGATATGTCCAAGGACCAGACAGCCACCAAAGCCTGGGTGCGGAAAATTGCATTCGGCCTGCGCATTGGGCGAAACAACAGCCTACGCAGAAAAGCCTATGCGAGCCTCTGCCCTTAAATCAGGACCTTTATTTTTTACTGGGGCCTTTTCATTTGTTCAGAGACCGCTTCTCGCCAAGCAAACGCCCCGCATGGCCTGCCGCGGCGCTGCGTGCCCGCCAGCGGCACCAGTTCGGGCCCCTCCCGGAACAGATCTCCCAGGTAGGTGTTGATGGCAGCGGACTCCGTGATTACAAAGTCGCCATGCTGCGCAAAGGATATGGCATGCGCAATCTGTGCATATCTGTGCGCTGAGCAATCCGCACTCCTACACCTGCCTGCAGAGCCGGCACCTTGCCGGAAGGGTTGAGCTTTGTAGCCTGTGGGCTCCGAGGCATGGCCGGCACGAGCGTGTAGGGGATGCCCAGCTCCTGGGTCAACTGCATGAATTGATGTCATCAGAAAGTGCTGCTTTTCTTGTGATACCCGATTTCAGCGGATGCCCAAACCGGCCTCTAGCATCCAAACATTGCGGAACGGACGCATTTTGGCAGAGCCAGTGAGGACCAGGCCATTGCTCGCCATTAGCGCCGCAAAAATAGCAATGTATGACTAACTTCCGACAGACATGTGAGAGCAATGCGGCTCCTATTTTACCGGCACAATTGCGTGGTCTGCAACGTCACGGAACTCGCAGTTCTTGTTTTCTAAGCAGTGTGAACCGATCGGCCGTACAACATTCAGATTGCAATGTTTGTCAGCCGCTAACTCAGTCGCTAGCAATATGTCCAAGTCACCAACTGTCTGCCACGAGAAAGCTGTCATCACAAGCAAGCTGCCATCACAAGCAAGCTGTGAACATCTAAGCGCCTTTTGTGCAAAGTCAGAAGCTCCAACAAGAGCTGCTCCCAAAGTTCTGGCACAGCCGGCAGCATTGACGACGGGACGCCACAATGATGCCCAGTACCAACACCAACCAAAATGAGTGACCCACGGTCCGCCAAGCACTTGGGCTACACTCTGTCCAGCTGCAGGCGATGCTGCGCGTTTTCTGCAATGATCATCGTGGCTGCATATGTGTGTTGCGGTGCGTACGTGTTTTTCTTTGTGCGTGCACGTGTCATGGGCTTGTCCGTGTGTTTGTCTTTGCTTTTTTGCCTTTATACATGATACTGTAACCTACATGTGCGCGCGTACCTGCTTGTGTGCGGGCGTGAGTGTGTGACGCTTGCCTTTTGTCTCCTTGTGGGTGTGTGTATGTCACAAAGACCTTCCAGCACCGTAAGCTGACCACAGTGTGGTTCAACTTCCTTGCTCCCCCAGCCTTTGTACTCCTGGCCGCCGAAGCTGTACCTGCACCAAGGCCGTCAAACCTACGGTTAAGCAGTTCCTGTGCCACTTGCAGAATAGACATGCAGGTGCTGAAGCCTTCCCTGTTCAGGGAAGCGGTGAACCCTGCAAGGCAGGAAGCTAGCATGTCCCGCCTTAAGCCCTCGTGGTCAACATGGAAGATAAGAACCGGAGGCTCCTGCAGCGTGCACTTCAGAGGATCTCATAAGCGATGCAGCAAGGGCCGGAAGCGGAAGCGCCTCTTCGGAGAAGCTGGCGATCTTTCCCTGGAACGCGGCTGTGTGAAGCACGTGCCAGGGAATTCATGAACACACAATTGTGAGCCGAACTTATCATGGGGTACTTGTTGTATGCTCATGAAACTTCAGTGGCGGTCAAACTTGCTCGAATCAACTTGAACAAAGAAAGGCATATCCTCGCATTGATGACTTTGGGGCATGGTCCCGGCGCGGCAGGCAACACACTCAGGCTGAAAAACTTTGGTCAACACCACACCCCCCTTCATTCACACGCAGCTTTGCGCTAAGCGGAATAATTACCAGGCAGCAATGAGAATGTCCGTGCGAGAGCCCCTCGCAGTTTACAACTCGTGCGAATTTGCCCTGATCACGAATACGGATGGATAGTGCCCGTGCCTATTTTCCTGCATGAAGCGTCAGCCTTCAGACAACTTGAGAAAGCTAGCGTGTGGCAAGGCATCGGCGCGTCCGTGCTCAGTTCTGGCCTCCACTCATGCCATCTCATCGTGCGTCGTTTCGCTTGTGCTTTTTGCAGGGCAATCTGGTCCTACAACATAGGACTTACCTCATTAAAACTCCAAGCATGTAGCCCAAGTTAGCCTCTAAAAAGGCGATTGAAATGATCTGAGTCGTTTCCGAAGGGTGTCATAATTGCGCCAAGCGTAATACAGAACCTGATCCAACACCCGCAACCCATAATCTGCAGTCCGCAAGCCGCATGAGCTAATCCGTCGCGCAATCCGCGACCCGCTAATCAATGCTGCTTCCAATCGAGGACGGCCCTGGGACTAAGAATGAACAAAGCGCATTGTTCATCTCTAATCTTTTCGAAAGCGCGTAGCGGGTAAAAGCTTCAGTGTTTGAACAGGTGTGTGGGGTCTCTTGAACCAAAGAAGGCCCCGGGATGAAGAATGCGAATCAAAGTTCGAACATCCATTGACACCGAACGAGCCAATGGAAGGAGAAAAGTGGACTACCCCCAGCGGAGGTGGTCCAGGGTGGCTTTGAGTTTACTGGGTGCTTGAGTTATAAGTTTTTCTTTGGGGGGGAGGGCCCCCCCAATAAGTTGTTTTTTTTGGGGGGGGCTCCCCCCCCCAAAAAAAAAGGCAACATCTCTGACAAACAAGAAGGTGAGCGACCCCCCTCCACGACCCTCACAACCAGTGAGAATTCAGGCCCCAATGCCTAGCTCAAGCTTTTCGACTGCCCCTTCTCAGCAAGCTGAGGTAAACGAAAACTTCAGCCTAGCTCCAAGGAGCTAGCTTTGGTGATAGCAAGGACTGTGCAGAACTTGCTTCTTCATATGCATGCGGCTAGCGCCTCTTCCTCCCTCAGCACAGTCTCCGCTGAAGCCTCCAGAGCCGCTTTCTAAGCATCCAAGGTGAGTCCTACCCGCATGGAATCTGAACTGAGATTTGCTTGTGAGCGCGATGCAAATCGAATTGAATCTGACTAAGGCCAGCACCCACATTGGCCGCAACTCCGCAAGCCGTGACCCGTGCTGCGGGTCCTTCAAAGCATTCTGAGAAGCCACTCGTGGGGCCAGCAAACAACCCGTTGCTGATCGCATGACTCCCCAAGTGCTGAGCAGCCCAGGTTTCCATTTGCCATCCATCTGCAACCCCCCAATGAAGCTTTCTTAGATGGGACATGACTTGACCAGTGCTCTGGATACAATGCGGGAAAGATGTTAACCAAGCTGGTTCAACTGATGTCAAACAAACTCCCATGTAACGTCTGTTGACTTGCGCAACCCGCGCCTCCAAATAAGACCCCCACTTGGCCTCCTTCGTGATGTTTGTTACATCCCGAATGTCCCAGCCTGAGGCAGTTTGGTCTTCAGGCCATCCTAAGCCTTCACCTTCTCGCATTGATCTCTTTGAAGTATATATATATATATATATAATTATTTATGCAGTATCTACGCAGCAGCTAAGAGCAGGGTGCCGAGGGCGAGGCCATCGTAGAGCATAGTCCACATCCTTGGCTGGCGGAACCGTTCAGAACACAAATCCTTCAAAGCTTTGATGACGCATTGGGAATTTTGAAGTCTGAAGTAGCCAATGGCTTGGATCTGCCAAGCGGCTGGTAAAGCACGTATTCAAACCTTGGGAAGAAGAGCCGTTGGGCAACTTGCCTGCGTTGGGCATGACTGCAGCATGTTGCGGCTTTTTGTGGTGGGCCTTGGCTTTGAAAGCTATGCTTTCCGCACGGCGATTGGAGCACACTACATGCGAACATCATGCAAGTAATGGTGCCGTCAGGCACGCCCCTGCCTCCAACTGGTGACCTCCTCCATGTTTGTCTTTGCGAGATGCGCCATCATCCTGACAAGGTATGACAAGGTCATAGCACAGCGCCGCAAAAGTGCAAGAGACAAAATACGCTTGTCCTGGAGTAGCCTGACTTAGCCTAATGGGCCTTACTTACAGAGGCAGGACGTCCGGCAATCGGCTACAATTAGTTCACCCTGCAATGAATGCAAAGCAAGGCCCAATTGAAAACTGGATGACGACAGCCCCGTAAAAACGCTTCCATGTGCAAGGCCGGTCCTCTTTGCGACCTCGCTCAGGCGTGGGCGAAAGACTGTGTGATATGCTTATATACAGGCACTGTAGCCGGTGCTAGCGGCCCTCATAATTACCACGCCTCAAAACTGCTCGGCAAAACCATGGCACCGGGGCTGCAACATCTAGCCGCACCCATGGGAGATCAGTCCACCAAGTCCATATGACGTGCTTCAGCTGGTGCAGGATCTGAGTGTAGGCGGGCGGGCACGCGCAACCATTCAAGTCCGAACCAAACACATTAGGCTCTCCCTGGTGAGAAGCAAGCATAAGGAATGGCCTTCAGAAAGCGGACACTTTGACTGAACTGTCCTACCTGTGCCTAACGAAAAAGCAAGTACCTTCTCGAGCAGAGAAGCCGAGCCTTCTTACAAGTGTCGGGCTTGCAGGTGCGATCGGTGACCTTGGTTTGCAATCAATTGAAACATCATGCTTCGTTCCGTGCGTCTACTTGCCGTTGATTGCACCGAACCAAAGGAAAAACACCAACAGGTGGCGAGGGGGCTTAAGCTTCCACAATCTGATGCAAATAAGGCACCAACTGGCCACGCAAAGTCACGACACAATCGCCCATTTGCAGACCAACTTGCCGGCCCTTCACGGGGGCTCACACAACAACTCTTGAGTTTACGGAGTTTAGGGTTGGTTTAACCTGGGCAAAGGGTCAAAAAGCAAGGTCTGGGTGAAAGCGCACCCGGCCAAGAAAAACAAGTCAGTAGTGAACCAGGCAGAGGTTGAAAAACAAGGTGAGGGTTGAAGTTAGACACTAAAGGTTCTTGTAGAGGTTTCCCAAGCAGGTTTCAAGGTTAACAACAAGGGAACGGTAAAAAGCGTTGAAACGCAAACAAAAAAAACCGATGATTGAGATTGGCCTGTGGCAGCCCCACGTCTCCAGCTGCAAAATCAAGGATCCAAACTCAGGAAGCGTCTCTCCGCTTCTCTCCAAGAGTCTCTCTCTCTCTCTCTCTCTCTCTCTCTCCATCCCCATTGTCTAACTACAGCCTTTCTTTCTCCAAGTGCGCCAAAGCCAACAAGCGCGTGCTTATCATCGCTGGGCGCCCCGCGTCTGTGCCAAAATTAACAAATCGAGCATTCTCCCTGCAATTCGCGTTCATTCGCACGAGCGGCACAAAAACCAAACTCTGAAATACGGTTGACCAGTTTCACAAGTCAAGTGCTGCCCCGGCTGTCCAAACACGATTAACTAGTCTCTAAACCAGCTGCATCTTGCAATGCGAGCCTGAGAAGATGCAAGTCGTAGTCTTTGCCAGACTTTGTCTGGCAATGAAAGCAGCTGTGCGCAGATACGGATGTCTCGCTTCCCACAAAACGGCGGGCGTGCACGCACGCAAGCCGCAAGACGCAACAGTACTGCATCAAATTTGGTATTGCTCAGGCAAAGCAAGTTTTGCTGCCATTAGAGAGAAAAGACCTTGGGACAAAGGAACATGAAGCCTCCTGACGCAACACAACCTGCCCAAACATGTTCCGGCACTGCGCTGGAACTGGTGACGACCACCATCTTGAATGAGGCGCTGGCCTGTTCATATTCAAGTCAGCAAAGGAAGCGTAGAAGGACAGGCAGTCTCACAGGGAGACAAGACGAAAACATGAATGTGCGCGGGAAAACATGCTTGGGCGAGTGATCAAGAGTGACCTTCTGCGGGATTTGGCATTTCCAGTGGGCTGCAAGCTACCTCGATCTCGAAGCCTGGCTGCCGGTTTTGCAAGGTCAGGTAGAGATTTCGTGGCAGGCCGCGCTTTCGCAAGGTCACGATGAGGTTTTGTGGAACAAATAGAAACATATGCAGATAGAGAAATAGATGACTAGACAGCTGGATGAATAGGCAGACAGGTAGATAGATAAACATACAGATAGCTGGATAGCTACAAAGATAGAAGTAAAACTAAGAAAGAAAGAAGCACATGTGGACACATAGAGAGATAGAAAGTTAGATAGGCAGATAACTAGTTAGCGTATAGAAGTAAAACTAAGAAAGAAAGAAGCACATGTGGACACATAGAGAGATAGAAAGTTAGATAGACAGATAACTAGTTAGCGTTGGCTAGTTATTCAGAACAAAGCAAAAAGAAACAACTATAGATAGATGGAAAGAGGAGGTAGGCAGGTGGATGGAAAGGCGAACAGCTGGACAGATGGATGGATGGAATGATGCATGTGTCGATAGACTGACTAGGATCAATCGGTACATAGACAACAAGATCGATCGATAGATAGATAGATTGACCAGATAGAAAGAAAATACAAATAGGTGAACCAATAAAACGACGGATTGACACAGACTAGATAGCCAGCCAGCTAACTAGATAGACAGGTAGAAAGGATAGATAGATAGAAGGATAGACAAACAGGTAAAGCGATAGAATGAAAAAATGATAGCTAGCTAGCTTGCGATAGGTAGAGACAAAGGACAGACAGGTAGGAGAGAGAGATAGGAGGCAGATAGGTAGCAAGAAAAACGTGGAAGAGAAAGAGAAAACAGAGGGACACAGCAAAAAGAAAAGAAAGAAAGTAGCAAGAGAAAAAGAAAGACAGCTACAAGAAACAAAAGAAAGGAGAAAGAAGAAAGAATGTTAAGGACAAATTATTTGACTTTGAAACTTCCGCCCGCCGGCTTCACCGGCTCTGCGCCAGCGCAGTCCTGATTGTGGCTGGCATGTTCGGTTTGCAGTCCGGCGAGACGCCCTTGGTCGCGCTCATGAACATTTTTGGCTTGCGCGTGCCTTGTGCATATTCCGCCGTCAGCGGACAGCGGAAGTAGCCCCGACGTTTGCATAGTGTTTCTTTTCTGGGCCGAACAACGAAAGCAACGCGCGAGCGCCGGTAGGTGAGTGCCCTCACACCCCGTAAGATGTCGGCGCTTAACACCTGTAAGATGTAATGTTCACCATTTCTGCTGCTTGGCTTGCCCACGGCGCTGCTTGCACGTTCTTTTTCGCTCGGAATATCATTGGTAGCATCTGCTGTAATCACTCACAGGCAAGAAAATCATTTACGCGTTGGGCCTGGGGAACCAACAGTATAGCTGCGTGAGGCAACGGGCTTTGGAACGGAGGACGACTGGAAGCGGCGCAGTGTTAGAAACAACATGTCTGCAATACGCAAAGAAACAACTCGCCGACAACGCCGGCGGCGGACATTCCAGAAGCGCGCTTACGCAACCTTGCCGCGTCGACGTCGACTGGCTTGGATGAGCGCAGTGCATCCACATGCCGGGCTGACAAAGGTCCCAAAGTTGTACTGCGTCAGCGTTGATGAAACCCTGGCCCCTGGCCAAACCTGCCACAGAACATGCTGGGGCCAGTTTTCCCCTCTCTGACATGGCATTGGGCCCGCGAACAATGCACAAAAAAGTTGTTCTTTTTGTCTGTCGCTTCGTCGCTTCTGCCTCTGCCTCTCTTTCTCTCTCTTTCCCTCCCTCCCTCCCTCGCTCCCTCCCTCCCTCCCATGTAGCCTTTTTCTGCTCAACAGACTGGATCCTGGGAAGAAGCCTCAGGACGGAGACAGCGGACATTGCGTGTCACAATCACTTTTCTTTGCCGCCCCGTGGGCGGAAGGCTGGAAACAATATCATGCTGCTTCAAAACGCTGCGTGTCCAAAGGCAAGTTGCGCCACGCTAATGCGCAAATGCCTGCGGTGAAGAAACTAACAAGCCCGGAAAATAAGCACACCAAAAAAAGTTAAGTGAATACGCCCCATTGCTAGTTTTTGCTAGTAAAGTCCAACCAGTAGCAAAACAAACAAAGATAATAACGCTTATACGCAAATAGAGTAGGGCAACACCCCTACAGCTTGGAGCAGGCCGAAAGCGATCTGTTGCGCAATATTGGGCACGCGTGCCCTTTGGTCCAATCATGCCCGCATGCTCAGCAACTGGTGTTAACCGTAGCCTGAAGTCAGACAAGCAAGCCCACTGAATCAAGCGGAGACAAAGGAACCGGGTAAGGTCACTCTTATTAACGTCGACTAAACGGGGAACAGCTTGCGTTGGAAACTCAGGTTTCGGTCCCAGGTCGCGACGTGCAAACACATCACCAATGGCGGCGCAAGCGCAAGCGAAGAGAGCGTGCGCTCACTCAGGAAAGAACCCTGCGCATCGCTCGAAATCCACCGCGTGCGGCGCGCGCGCTTCATCACGCCCGTTGGAAGAGGTGTAGACTTCAACAGGTGGTAAGTTTCGCCTACAATGAAATCTATGCTTGATAGCAAACAAGTACCATGAGGGAAGATGAAAAAGACTTTTGAAAGAGAGTTAAAAGTGCTTGAAATCGTTTAAGGGGGAGCGAATAGAACCAAGAGCTTGGCTGAGACTGCTGTGAATTTTCAGAAGCGGTGTGCGTGAATGCGTATGCTTTTTGCACGCAGGTGTATGAATGCTTCCGGTGTTTCTCAGCTTGCTCGCCAGCTGCAATGCTCACTTGAGGATGGCCCTTGTCGCACGCGTTGGTCAGGTGGGCGTGTCTTGCTGGTTCACTGATTACATGGTTCTCCTCGACCCGTCCTGAAAAACGGACCAAGGAGTCTAGCAGACGTGCCAGCTCTCGGGCCATGCTAAGCTCAAAGGCGAGCGAAAGCGCTGTCTGGGTCGACAAGCGCAAACACATACATACATATAAATGTAAATAGAGGTACAGAACAAACAAACACGCGTGCGTGCAACACAAACAACAAGCAAACACAAAAACACCAAAAAACAAATGCACAAACCCAAACACAACCACAAAGACGGAGACACACCCTCACACACACACACACACCGAGTCTGGCACTACTAACTTGGAGAAACTGGCTTTAGAACAGCCAGCACCTTGAAGAAGCACATTGCCCACTGCTCTGACGAGTGGCCTGGACCAGGCACCTGTGGAACTACATGCGCTTCCAGAAGAAGCCTGCAGGGTTGGTTGCTTGCTAGCCCGATTGCGCCCATGGCGCCTGTCAGAACCCTGCAAACAGGAATACGGTCCCTCAAGCTTTCGACGTCACCCAAACACAATCACCACAAGCAAGGGCAGCAGGAAGCCTTGGCATGCAGGTCAAAAAGGCTGATCTCAGCGTCCAGCATCAAGCCATACTCCTACGTATGTGTGCTGACTCTTCCGTGCTGGCACTGAACCAAATGAGTTCGCAATTGCCAACATGCTCTGACAACGCAATCGAACAAATCGCAGTGAGAGATTGTCCTCCTGGCCCAGGTCCATTATGGCCGCAAGACCTGGCCAAGGGGATCACCATCTGAAGCCAGACATATCAATCTGTTAGAGCTCCGATGAGACACATGTCTGGGCATAAGGCAACAAGCTGCGGTGGCATCTGCACATCGTGATTCACAAGCAAACGCCTTTTTATGTCGCAGAGTTCGCTGGGCTCCGGCCAAGTTGGAGCACAGCACACTTAGAAGTCGTTGTCGTCAATCTTGCGCTTCTTTGGCCGCGGCTGTGAGCCAGAGGCTGCTTTCTCCTTCTTTTTGGCCTTCTTCTCCTTCTTGTCCTGCGGCAGCTTGCATTTAGACCAAAGGTGCTGTCAGCTCTGAGCGATTGGGGCATAGCCCTAGGTTGCGAAGGTCCTTTTTGTCCTTCTTATCTTTTTTCTTCTTCTCTCTTCCTTGCGGAGCGAGAGACGGAGCAAGCAATGACAATCTGGCAACATCCATCATGCATTGGGTGGCTGCTTGAAGCAACCTCATAAACACATGAACCAATAAAGCATGCTTTGGCCGCTGACGTCTGAAGCAACATGACAGGGTTATGCCGGGCCATTGGGCCATGCTTCCCATAGCCCAGGGCGGCGGCATACCCATCATGGCGAAGGCGGGGTCGAAGGGCGGAGCCCCAGGAAAGCCAGGAAACGGCATGCCCGGCAGAGGTGGAAAGCTGGGAGGCTCCTGGGAATCGATTCTGCCGCGCGTGCAATGCTACTTGCCTGTACCTCGATCCTGAATGCAAGGGGCTGGCTCCGATTGGAGGGTCTCAAAATGACATGCGGCAGTCTAGTTTCCACTTCTCGTGTCTAAAGAATACGGGAGTGCTTTGACAGGCCTGTTTTCATGGCCAGCCCACTTAGGGCTACAACATCTGAACTGTGCGGGGAAAACTGTAATCAAGGTTAGTTCTTTCCCAGGCTCCGAAGTGCAACAAAAAGTAAGCCTAATAAACAGTCTTCAACTCACACTGTCACTTCATCAAAGGTGTGTCATTTCGCAGCTGGCCGGCCTTAACAAGGTTGTTCATGTCACGCAGAAGCTCCCAAACAAAACTTCGAGCCAATGCTGTCCTCATCGCCATCCTTGCGCGCAAAGAGTGGTGGTTCCTCATCTCCCAGCTTCTCCTGCTGTCCCTGCACTGCACGGACGTGGGAGGCACGCAGCTGGCCGTCCGGCAGCTTGTAAAGCTCGGCGTCCACCTGCTTGCCCACCATCTCCTGTGCGGAGAGGCACTGTCCAAAGCGATTGGTCGATGCGGGCTTGGATGCGGCCTTAGGAAAGGAAGGAGACCTTCCTGAAGGAAGTATTTGTGCTGTGCAAAGTTGTCCAACATGTGTCTTGCACTGTGCTATTTCCAGCTTGGTTCGATGCAGCGTGCGCAAGGGTTTTCGTGGCTTCCTGGCTTTGGGTGTTGCACGCCTCCGCTCCAGCAAGTCTTCGTGAATGCTAATGTTACAGTTGGCAATGTCTGGAAGCACCTAACATCTCAACCTGAACTGGGTGCCGTCTCTGACGTCTTTGTGGCCACGTGTTGCCTTTCAACAGCTCTACGCAACACTCCCCCTGCCAAACATTTCCCTGCCTGTGAGACGCGAAATTTGAAATGCCTCTGTGGCCCACGCCACTAGGCACTTTCCGATGCTCCACTTGGAGTCGGAGTTGCCCACTCCAATCAGGGAGCACATGCTTGAGACACGTGACTGGACTAATGAACTCGCAAGGCGGGGGCAGCTTGCCTATACGAGAGTTCCCCGATGTTTTGAACACTTGCGAATGACAGCTACTCTCCTAGGCTGTTGCTCTTTTGCATTAGCACGTTGCCGCATGCCTGGCGCCTATGCAAGTGCAAGCGCATAGGTTGCGTAGCTCGAGCCTATGGGAATTGCATGCGAAATGCGTGCGTATAGATAACAAGTCCTGACCTCTCAAGTTGTGTGACATAATGCTGCTTTGGTCTCCTTCAGGCGTCGGTACTCCTCCCGATGCTCTACTTGGGCCACAAATTTGGCACGATCCGTGAACTGCAAACATCTCAGGTTCGTCGGCAGCTCGTACTGCCGCCACAAGATCTCGCCCCACTCTGGTGACCTCAGCTCTGTCGCCAACTCAAGGTGTATAGTCCTTCCACGTTCCTGTTGCCACAGCGTCTCCCCAAATAGCCCGTGCCAAAGCATCCCAAGCTTTTGCTATCAGCTAGCACCCTAATCTCCTTTGCGCCCAACAACCTGGCGTACTGCTGATCAAGCATGGGGTAGCATCAGGAGCAATATAGAAAAGGTCCGAAGATGGCCGTCATATGAATCTTCTTGGCTAGGCAGGGTCCTGTTTGCCTGAACCTGCTCAGCTCTGAGTGGCCCATTTGATACTAGTAGACCGAGCGAACAAAACTGGGTCCTCAGTCGTTTTCACAATGGCTCTTCCTGTCTCCCCGACTCTGTTCTTGCTTCTTCGTCCGGTAGCAACGGTGCCAGGGGGCTTGATGACGCCGTAGCCAGCCAGAGAGACGCGGTGCACCAAACCGGAGAACTTCTGACTCTGGCCTTCCGCAGTTTTCAGCTTCTGGCCCGTGCTCTGCTGGTGGTGATGGTGGTGGTGGTGGCTTCCTCCGGTGATCTTCTTTGCCTGTGCAGACCAAAAAACATGTTTGAGTCACAGCTCTCTGCACGAGTGGCAAGCATTTCGTGCGAATCAGCCGATGGAGACTCTGCAAATCAATGTTCAACAGTCGGCCTCCTCCTCCTGCTGCTGCTTCCTCTGTACCACCCACTTTGGCGGCGTGGCATGCTTGGCCCCCAAATGCTTTGTAACACCGCTAGAGGTCTGGATGGGGTGCCTCAGTACTGATCAGAATGCATCAAGAACAAGTGCACCTGGTCTGCTTGGCGCATTTGCCACTTCACGCAGTCCGTCCTTTTCAAAACTGCCAGCTGGGTAGCAGTCTAAACCAGGCAACCACATGCTTTGAAGTGCAGTCTGAGATGCCCTTTTAGCCGCTCAACTGCTGCGTTTGCCGCTTCCTCATTCAAATATCTCAGAATAACGGAGCCAGTGACTGGCGTCGCCTGCTTCTCGCCTTTGGTGCCTGCGAGGCCTGGAATGAGCGGTGCACATGTTGATGTGGCAGCTCCTTCTTTGTTGGGAAAACGGAGGGTGGACCTGCAGCCTACCTGAGGCTACCCTAGCTAGTTTGTGCTGGTGATTCCCAAAGCCGCACTGTTCGAAGCGCGCCAACATGTACAGCAATTCAACCAGTGATGCCCTTCCGTGAATCTTGGCTGCGTTGGATAGCGAAAACCACTTGGCGTGTTCCAAACCTGTGGTCTTCGAAGCAATTCTCAGACCTGTCCGACACCTTTTCCGGAGGTTTGCTTTGTGCCCCAAGAGCTGTCCAGAGGGTCTGCGGGCGTGTCTGGGGTTGTATCCTATTTTGATCTGAAAAGTACAAAACCTCAAAAACAGTGCTTTTATAGAACTGCCTTCGTCAATATATGCATATGCAAGCGTACCAGGAGGGCAGAGACCTGTTGAAGGCAGCGCCTAGAGATACTTCCGTGAAGGGCAGGAATTTCAAGCCCATGATGGTGTCCGGGTTGAGACCAAGCTGCCTATGTAGCTTCCGAATAGCTGCCTGCCAAGCGGTTGCAAGTGTGAACGAAGAATTGGCACTGGCCATCCTGTTGTGAGAACAGTCGACCTCCTGACCCAGCCTCATTCCACTCAACTGGCACGTCTGAGACATAAACGGAAGGATAAATCACCCTGGGCTCGTTGGGATGCAGGTTGTCCTTCCTATTTGAGACCCGGTGCTGGATCTCCTCCCACGTGCGCCAAAAGCATCTCAATGTTTCTAGCGGTCCTTGCCCGATATTCATAAACATGATGAACATATGGAACCAAAGTAGGACGGCAAGCCCCCGCAAGCAGGCTAGCGCTCCGTGTACCGAAAAGCTCTGCACATCTACTGCAGTCTCCTGCTTCTGCTCCACTGGCACAATGGCACTGGGCTCGGACGTAACTTGCACACTGCGCGCTTGCGCCTTGCCCTGGCGAGCACATGGCATGTGAGAATCGTTCGCTGTGGTAGAAGCAACATCTTCCACATTATGAATGCGAAGCAGCAGCTTACACACATGCCGCTAAAGCACGTGTGCTGCTGCGCTTTCACAGCGAACTGGGACAGCACTGGGATTCTGCACCCTGCCTGAGCATTCTCCCAGATCTCAAACGTCAGCTCGATCCCCAGGTTCGCACGCGTGGGAAGCGAGTGGTTGCCAAAGAACCAAATGCCTCCCAGCTTGGCCCCGCAAAGCGAAGACTGGGCTCAACACAATGAGAGCTACCATTCAATGGAGCCCCTCAGTGCAGATTGCAGGCCCTGGTCCGTCCCGCATTTTGCACCTGGGGCCCAGGACCCAACTTGCCCCTCACGGTTGAATCGCCTTCATCCACAGAGGATGGCAAAGGAGGACCTTCGTTGTCCTCGCCTTTGAACACTGGCGAGATGAAGCCAAAGTTCCTTTGTTTGCGAAACACAAACTTGGCACACATCTCGAGCTCTCACTTGTGCAGTGGCCTCGCCTTGTCAACATATCTTGCAAGATCCATGGGCTGTAAATTGTTGGCACCCGTGCAACCGCTGACTCTCTGGATTATTTTTCCGCATGTTTCACCATGACTTTTCTGGAGTGAGCGTGAACGGCCAACGAATAGTCTACCAACCACATTACCTGCCGACAGTTAGCCAGAGCAACTATCTGGACTGGATGCAATCCTTGTCTGTGCTTGCCAAGGCTCTTTGCTCCGTTGAAGATTTTCAAAAGGCCGCGGCCATAAGTGACCTTGGCCGCAATATACGGCTGCTAGCCAACAACGTTTACAAAGAATGCTCTCAAAGTCCTAGCTCTCGGCTTTGCTGCATCGACCCGATGGAGTCTCCCAAGGCCCGGAAGAATAGCATTCCGAGCGTGCTTGCCCCCGAAGCTTCTCCAGTAATATATATATATAACTATGAGGAGGGATCGATGTCAGGACAAACAACACACTAGACGGACTAGACAAACGACGACAAGAAGCACAGGCAGCGCGTAAGACCCTCTCCAAACATCCCTCTGATTCTGGGGCGCCGCCCGCAAGGAAAAGGTCGGATGGCATGATGGGCACTAGTTGGCGCTCGGCCAATGTTTGCTCAGCAGCCAAGCTGCGAAGGCTTCGCTGCCATCGGTGGGGTTTGTGCCGTCCATAGCCCGAGGAGGCCACGGAACTGGGCAAGTCTTCTAAGAGCAGCGGATGCAAGGCGCTGGACAATGCAGCCTCCACAGTGCAAGACCAGTCACCTGAAGCAGTGAACAGTTGCTTGCAATCATTCTTCTCTACAATCTTCTCTCTGACAAGCACGCAGTGGATGGCCAAGCAATATTGGTGGCTGCCCCAAAACTCACACATGCCAGGCAATGCCATAGTACTTCTTGAAGGCTGCTGTGTACCTACCAGTTGAGTTAGCTAAAGACACAGCTATTCAAAAAACCAGCTTCCGGATGCACCATAGAATGTCACTTCTGCTCATGAACGTACGTTTGTTCCTGTGCCCCTTCAAACAAGCAGTGCAAGCAAATTGCCGAGGCTGGCTTTGCTCAAATGTCTGCTGTAAGATTCTCACAAGGAAAGCAGCATCAAAATGACTCTATGCTCCAGGGCACTGGTTTCCAAGACCAACATTCTTCATCCTTGGCAGGCGGCCAAGCCCGACGCTATGATGCGGTTTCCACGGTGCTGAACACTGCATTTATTGTCGTCTACGCTTTGTCAAATGTGACGATGGCTGTCACAGTGGGCCTGCGAATGGAGAAGTCTCATGCGCATTCCAAGCAAACAACTCAGGCCATTCTTTCCGAACAAATGTTGAAGACATGCATCAGGCCACCATGCATCTCGACTATGCAACAGGAGCTTGCAGCTCGCACGCGTTTCCCAAGTTGTTCAATCTCTTTTTGCGTTTGCCTGGGCCAAGTTTGGGCTGAGCTCCTGACCAGCCCTTCTTGGGCTCGCTAGCGATGATAGGCACCCACACTTCTGGAGTGCCAGGAACTGAGCAAGCGCGGCAAGATGAAGCAGGCCTTTATAAGGTGAGCCTAGTGCCACTGCACAATGCAAGCCTCAACACCCTATCCTGGGATTCCTCGGACGTTTTGCAAACGTGCTGTGGGAAAAGGCCGTTTCCGGGAACTTAACGGATGCTTTTGTGTTTGGCTTTTAGCTTTAGTACACCAAACAATGCTCATCAAATCCAATAAATGTGCTTTCTCCTAAAGAAGGACAGCGTAGAATGTGCTATGGAACTCGAAGGCTATGTCCAACAGCCACTACAACCAATCTTGCCCACGCAAAGCCAAAGCTGGATGACAGTACAAGCTGCGAAGGACCGTCACAGGGTTAACGGTTTTGAATGGGGCGACGCATCAGGCATGAGGAGCACGGCAATGCTGGCAACGCTGGGCAGCCCGCTGATGCAGGCAACTGCTTCACGAAACAATTTCAGGTCCTGATATCAGCGGCAACTTGCTTGCACAAGTGGCAGGTGTACCTCTACACTTGCAGGCAAGTTGATCTCTCTCCCCAAATTAAACCCCCATGTAAAAGACACTTGGCACACGCTTGGAATCTGCAAGCCTGCTTGAACTGGAAGACCACATAAATGCTCAGCGCCTGCCGCGCGTTGGTACTGCATGGTCAGCACACAAGTGTTCCGAAGCACGCCACACACAGGCACACACATTATGAGGCGACCACTGAAAACAAACAGCCATTTGCCTCGAAAGCGGCTGGGCACCGCAACCACTCTGCAAGGAACATGACCAAGGCGTAGTACCTGGGACATATGTATGATGCTGTATGCCGCTGGGACTCTCTTCCGACACCCTGTTGCCAAGTTTTGCAGACCAAACGTGTATTCGAAGCCAAACGACGGTGGCCTTAGAGCAACATCACGCAGCGATGTGACTACTTTAACTTTTAATGCGAATCCACAATCGCCCTCTGAGTACTGATTCTAGTGAGCATTCCAACAAACCCTCCGCCGTCGCGCCCTTGGCATTGCATAATGCAAAAGCTTTGGGCAGCTCACGTCCGTGGACCTAACCTGGTCCCTGGCTTGTGGCCATCTGCACGTGGGTTCCCAGTGCTAAGCTCCTTGCTTTGGCGGATGCACTGCAATAGAGGCAGCTACCTCAAGCAAAAACTGCAAAGCCTACATGGTGGCTCTCATGCACAAATTTGACGTGAGACCCTCACATCATGGTAGCTTCTGTTGAGAAATAAGCAACCGTTTGCACCTATTCCATCTATTCTTACGCTTCCCCCTACGCAGTTGCGTACTGCTGCCAGCGGTTTGCGAGATTGCATGTGACAAAACCAAGCAACGGCAGTACCTGCTGCGGCTGCTTCCTACAAGCCATCCACATTGCCAAGCAGGAGCTTGGGCAGGTGAGCCAGCAATGGGCGCATCAATGCACATTGGGTGCCATTCCTCCCGTCCTATGTCAATTCCTACCACTCACTCTTGTCACAGCATCTGATGGACCATCGTGTGGCAGTCAATCTGTGAATCTGCCAACTTGTCATTGGTCAGTGGTACTTGGTTTGCCTCTGGTCAGCTGCCTCTGCATTGGAGCCCTCAGCTGCATCAAGAACAGTCCCCGCCTTCCGCTTCACGCCTTGGGAGATCATCTGAAGAGTGGCCTGGCAATGACATATGTCCTTGCACTTTGATTCGGCCACCACCTCATCGCAACAACATGCGAAGGCGGTCACACAAACTTCGCCCATCGGCAACGTGAACCAAAAGAAGCTACTTTTGAGGTGTTCAAGAAACACATTCATGTGCACGCGGCATAAGCCGCGATCTTTGGAGCAATGTTGCATTTCCTGGCTTCTCCCTCCGGACTGCCATGCCTCAGGAACATTGCCTGGCCTGAGGTTCGGGTTGGCTCACATGACAGCGATTCGATGATCTGTTCAATCATTGAGCATGCACGGCGACTGATTTGAGAGAAAGGAATTGCGTTTGCACCTTCTGCGATGCAGCATGCCATTTCCCAGCACAAAGCAAACCGGCAACGTGGAACCGTCTGCAATGTCTAAGCCGCTTTTCTTCAAATCTGCTTACCTTAGCCGCCAGCCACGGCGAAACAAGATCAGCCGTCTGAGCAGCGCGGAGCCTGGACAATGGCAACTCAAATGGGCCACTATGACGTGGAATTCTTCAACAGCATCCTCCAAATTTCGATAAAACCGAAAGCCTTGTCAATGCTCACCAACCCTTGCTCGAATGTTTGACAAGCGCCATGTTATCTGGAGGCCTTCAAAAGAAAATCATTGACTATTGAAGACCATTGAACCACAGGCAACGTCCGTGCCAAATGCAGACTGGTCAAATCGATTCAAGGACTAAGCACTGCTGAGTGCCACGCGATTGAAAATCTTCTAGCTTTGTCTGGAAAGCACTGCCAGCCTTTCCGTAGCAGGATGCAATAGACAGGCGAGCTCAGTCAGCCGTGTATTCATTGGCAATAGGTTCAATGCAATATGTTCTCATACTGCAGTCGTGCTTTTTGCGAGTGACAGTAGTGAAACAAAACATTTGCCATAAAAGCCGACAAGCCAACCGATGTGTTACCCGGTCAGCCTGAAGGGTGCTGCTTTGCATGCCAAGTTGGTCGCACTTTCTAAAGCTTGGGCGCGCTCGTGTCACAGGTCAGCTTTCTTCAGCTCTTGTGCTCCTTGGCACCAATGACGGACATCATGGCTTGCATCCTCAGCGCAGAACAAATAGTTGCATCTAAAAGGGCATTATGTCAACAGTGCACGTTCAGCGTCAACAATGTGCTATCAAGGATTCTTGAGCCACTTAGCTCCTCAGATTCCCCCTGCCTTAGTGCAAGGAACGTGGGGGGGGGGGGGGGGGCATTCTATTTTACGGGTGGTCATTTTATTTTTTCAGGGTCCCGTGACCTGAAACGCAGACAGCTGAGTCACCCGGCACACTGCCTCCTTCACCCCGCCTTGTGACCCAGCACACTCAATTGCGGGACCGGACGTGCCGCAGCCCACCGCGCCGGGTCCTTTGCTGGACCTTGTCACCCGGCACACTCAACTGGCGGATTCGGCACGGGTCCTGCGCCGCGGGCATGCTCAACGGTGGCACCTGGCATGCCGGGTCCCACGCCGGGCCTTGTGAAGCGGCACGCACACAACTGTGCGACCCGGCACGCCGGGCCGGGTCCTACGCCAAGCATTGTGAAACGGCGCGCCGGGCCTTGTGAGGCTCTTGTGACCCGGCGAGCTCTCAGATGCGTGGCACGGCGCCCCGGGCCGTCCGCTGCATGAGCCCACTTGCAAAAACTCAAGGTAGAAGCACTGAGCCGTGGCCCATGCGCCTGCGGCATGTCTTTTTTTCATAGGATCTCCGGCGGCAGCTTGTTGAGACCGCAGTAACGCCTTATGTCTCAAGTAGTTTGGCTTGCTTTCTGCGAATTGGTAAACAGGGAGGAGGGCCAGCCCCTTGCCGCGTGCCCGGCGTAGGACCCTGCGCGCCGGGTCATGCAGAATTCGGCAGACTGCAGTTGTGCGTGCCAGATTTCTGGTGGTTCCATTGCTCCTTCTAGTTGCGCTATTCTACGCAATATTGCGCGCTGCTATGCGCAGCCACACATCTCACAATCTGCTCGGCGATGCACTTGCACTTTGGGGGCCGAACTGTTAGCGTTACAACTAACTGAGACGGAGCGCACGGAGCGCACGGAGCACTCATAAGCGTGCAGGAACACGCGCGTGGCCGGAGCGCCCGGGGCGCAGAGTGGCTGGAGCGCATGCCACCGTGGCATCAGCTCCAGCATGGAGCGCCGGCCCGAGCCTAGCGAGCGGGAGAAGCATGCAGGGCAGTGGAGCGGGCACTTGTAGGAGTAGGAGTGCCGAGCAGGCACAGCGCCGAGCAGGCGCAGGCCCCCCGCTGTGAAAGTGGCAGGCCACTGTACAAGTGGCATGGAGGCCACTGTGAAAGTGGCGGCCGCTGTGCAAGTGGTTGAGCGTGCGCTTTAGTACGGGTTCGCCCAACGACTCTTAGTACGGGTTCGCCCAACGACTCTTAGCACGGGTTCGCCCAACGACTCTTAGCACGGGTTCGCCCAACGACTCTTAGTACGGGTTCGCCCAACGACTCTTAGTACGGGTTCGCCCAACGACTCTTAGCACGGGTTCGCCCAACGACTCTTAGTACGGGTTCGCCCAACCTCGTTTGATACTGGCTCGCCCAACGACTCTTAGCACGGGTTCGCCCAACGACTCTTAGCACGGGTTCGCCCAACCTCGTTTGATACTGGCTCGCCCAACCTCGTTTGATACTGGCTCGCCCAACTGGCCTAGCTCTGTGCCCCTTGACCGCGGGGTGCGGACGGCTCCGCGCCGGTGGGATTTGGTGTCCGAGAGTTGCCGGCTCGCGGCCTGCTATCTGGCCAACTCCCTGTGGGTCACATGTCTTTACATCATGTGACCTACAAAAACTGCTTAAATTGACACAAGCTCAGAGCATGCGCGGCTGGCCCCTCAATCCTGTGCCCAGCCCAGGATTGCCCCCCTCAATGAATTCTATCCAGGTCCGAGATGGATCTTATAAGGAATGATCCTTGCTTCAGTCCGGGATGCTCAGCCGATCCGCAAGCTCTGTCGTGGCCGCGCTCGCAGTCTCCTCGCACAGCGCCGTAGGAATGCTGTAAAGCAGCTCGCGCGACTGCCCTCTGACCTTCTCGCGCTGGCCCCCCATGAGTCGAGGCCCCCCCTGGGCGCCCCTCAGATGCCTCCCGTCTTCCCACGCCTCGCACCGGCAGCCGCTCCTGCACAGCCCTCGGCTCGGCCTCCAGCGCATGTTGGTCCACAGCCGGGTCTGCTTCCTGTACGGATGCTTGGGTTGTTCTGAGCAACTAGGTTCATTTTGCGCGTGGAAATGAGCCAGCCACACACGTCGGAGCTTGTGACAGCGCGGCCGGCGCTAGCCACTTCCTGTTCAGAAGCACCCTTCTAATGAACATCAACGCCGTATTCTTGTCCTTTCAATGTTGTATTGAAAGCTCAAAACTGCTTTGCGCGGTTCTTTATTTCAATTCCTGTAGCAGGAAAAGTGCTCAATGTTTCTTTTGCCTCACAAAGGGGGGGGAGGGACCCCGTTCGGACAAGGATTGAAGTGGAATCGCCAGGATACACTTGCCTCATTTGGGGAGGGGAACCTGTGCATCTTTAGGAGAAAGCGATAGCTTTGCAGCCAAAGCAGCAAGCGGCGCAAGCCCATGCCGCAACAGCGCCGGCACCGGACCTGCCATGTGGCACCAGTGCGTTTGATTGTTCTGTCACGTCGCCCTAAGACTCCGTGTTTCTAAGCCACAACACTGGCTCAGGATGTCATTGCCAAAGCTGGTTGGTGTTGCCACAATATGTCGGTGCGAGTCGCCCGCGAGTACACCTAGAATATCCTAAGCCTGTACCAAAATTACTCAGCAAAATGCTATGCACGATGCAATCCCAACGCATGGCTCAGCATGCTCCTGTGTTTGCCTCTGTAATTTTCTGCGGGGCCCACAGTCCGGCTTGGCCTGAACGCTCGGCAGCTGCTCTCGCAACAGCCTCTCAACTTTGGCGGCTTCTGCGTACCTTGGCTTTCACAAGCCCTTCGTAGCGCCTCATTGCTGAGTCACTGAACCGCAGCAAACGCAGCACCAGAAGTCTCTCGGAATTGCTAACAGCAGGCCAGCCCAGCTTGGCATCAAAGGGCGAAAGACTCCGCCCCACCGTGCGTGCCACAGTGCACACCCATTAGCTTCTTGGCCGGGAGCTGCTTCAGCTGTTGCTTCAGCTGTCGATGCAGCTTCTTGGCCTGCTGCAACACATGGGCAACACATGGGCATTTCTAAGTCACCCTCGCACAGCTCGACTCGCAGTGGGAACTTGAGGGCTTGTAGGCCAACAGCTTGCACCTTCTGCCAGAATTTCGATGCTGCCTTTTTACCAGCCGGCTGAGGCTGTTTACAAGCCCTTTTTGTAGGTAGGGTATGGTATTGTCACGAATGGCAAACTTCAAGCAGACAGAAACGCATGCGTCCGAGCAATCTGTAACGCCGGGTGGGAAGCAAATCCAGCCCGGACAGCATCCATTGTTGCGCCCAAAAATCAAATTGCACCTGTCGACTCCACCGAACCACCCCGAGTTTGCCAGATTCTCGTGTCCAAGCAACCACCTCCAGCTAATTCAACAGGAAATTAGCCGGAGATGGATTCTTGGATCACGGGGAACCCACGAACTTAACGAACTTACCACCCCCTTTACCAAGGTGCCAAACCATATGGAAAGTGCTCGTGCCCTGCCTCCCTCTTCTGGCCAGCTGCGGCGTGTGCAAGCCCTAAGCTGCCAGAGCAAACCAATGCCTGCGATCCGGGGCGTAGATCACATTGGACATGTGAACGACAAAACTTTGACTGAAATCTGGCAAAGGTTGCTTGTCAAAAGGTAAAGCATGAGCAAGAGATGCGCCGCATACTGCTCAGCTATTGGTGTAAGACCGGCCAGGTTGATGGGAAGTGATAAACCTTTCATGCTTCCTACTTGTACAGATCAACTCCTGCCTGGGGATGTGCTTCACCAAGACATTGGCACAGCTCCTTGTGCGAGGCAGTCAGGATAGCCTGAGCATCATCGTTCTGATGCCACCAGCAAGCTGAACTTTAATGGGTGCGGCTGAGCAGCAATAGCCTCGTCAGCCTCACCCTGACAGCCGGAAGGCCCAATCCAAAGTGCCAAGAAAGCCGAGATTCGGACGTGTTCCATGTATGGAAAGCATGGCTTTTAAGCTCGAATATTTGACAGAAACATTGAGTTGGCTCCAGCACACGCTTTCTGGCCCTCGCTGGTGACAGCCATGACAGCTTCAAAACCCACAGGCCAAAACACTTGCATTGAGTTCAATCATTCCATTGTGAGGCTCCATGTCCGCAATAGCAGATGCAATAGCTCCGTGCCTTGAGGGACAGCGCCGTGCCCAATGTGGCTTCTGTGGCCAGAACCTGCACATGCGTTCTGTAGCTCGGAGTTGCTGGGTGAAGCGTTCCTGGTAGGTACTGCAGGTAAATGAGGCATAGTGGGGCTTCTATGGCTGGGAAGTGAGGTCTCGTGTCGGGAAGTTCGGGTGTCCGGCCGGGTCATTTGCTCATGCCCGACAACGTGAAACATAAATAACGCAGGTGCCCTGCAACACTGGCCCGACGACAGGGAGAGGGACCAAAGCCTACGGGCCAAGCACGCTGCTCTTTCCAGCATAATCGGATCATGATCATTAATCTTAATCATCCTTAAAAAAAGGGAGCCTTCTGCGTTGCAAGCTGGCATGCGACAAACGTCAAACGACCCAAATACAACCATTGCTTGCTGTTCCTTCTGCCAGCCCAGTAGCTTGCCACGAGTTCAACGCT